AATGCCATTGATTACTCTGGCAAGAGCAGTGTCAGTGGGGTGATAGGGGTGGAAGTCAGATTACTGTTAAGAGGTGTGAAGAAGGTGAAAACTGGAGAGTACACCTAAGCAATTCTCTGGCATGAAAACAAAAGTAGCTAACTTGGTGCGCAGCTGGAAGGGGCCGAGGCAATGGAAGATTGGGGAGATCTAAATGCTGTCTGTCCACATGAACTGAAGTCTCTGATGTGAAACACTGGCTGATGGACCCAAGGCTGGCAGACTACTTTCTAATATATTTTCACATTTCTCCTTTAACCACTTGAGTTATATATTCACCAAAGGTCAAATTCCAAAACCTGCTTATGATTATTTGTTTTTATGCAATTTAAATATTTAACCGGTTAAATGTATGTAAACAGAATGAGTTGTTGTTTAGCTAAACTGTTTTGGAAATACTTTTTAATAGATAGAGACTAAAAAGCCAACCAAAAAAAACAAAAACAAAACCCGGCTGTAATAGAAGTTTAAGTAAAGAATTGTGATGATTCAGAAGACTTCTGATTCAGATTAATTATGTGTGTCTTTAGGTGTGTTCTTGTTCCACTTAAAAAAAAATTGGAAATTTAAAAATGGTACATTTTAGATGTAGTTAAGCAAGGACAGTGAGGAATTCCAATCAAGTGATTCATAGTTGCTAAAAAGGCCTTCATCTTACATCAAAATATTTAGAAATAAATATACATTTCTGTTTTGTTTGAATATATATTTTAAGCAATTTATCATTTTTCATGACTCCACTTGAAACTAATTTTTTAAATTTATTCTTAAATGACATTTAGAGAAAGGTCAAAGGAGATAGTCACAAATGGCATATAAAGCATGGACAGCAATTTGTTTTAAAAGACTACAATCTCAGTAAGGTCAATAAAATGGATAAAATGGGAGTAGTTAGATTGTAATAAAAATGTGAGATGTCTGGGTTTAGGAATTGAAAAGCTAAACAGACTGACAAAATCCAGCATATTTTCTTGGAAGTGGATGGTTGAGATAAACAAGTTGAAGAATGCAAAGAGCCGACATCCTAGTATTGGATAAATTGTCTATGATGAACACTGGAGTCCACAGCTAGACAGCTGGGCCTGGGAGTAGAAAGAAAGACTAAACCAGGGACAGAAGTCTTCAAAGAATAGAAAGGGCTGACCAGGTGGTTGGGAGAAGACATTGTGGGCAGGGTATAGAACGGTAAAACCAGACTGCGAGCCTCGACAGTGGTTTTACACAAGGTGAAGAAGTGTTGGCCTGGGAGAGTAACTGGGGGCAAGGTAGGACCTGGGGAACAAAAGATGTGGATTTTCCTCCTTACTTTGTGCTATGAGATGTGGAAGAAAAGACGGGTGTAGGGGAAGTATTTTCCTCAGGGCTGAGGGGATTTCAGGAAAGGTTAAAAGGAGAAGAGACCATCCGGAGTGTGACAAAGTGGAGTATGTTTACCACAAGACCAGAGCTCCAGAAGTAACAGTGGAGAAGTCTAGAGCAGACAGCTACATCGGTATTGGTTGTCCAGCCCCCCTCTCCCCCATCTAATTATATACGCGTTTTCTTCCCATATCCATGCATCCCCCACATAGTCCATGATCTTTAAAGGTGGCTGCCTCTACCTCAGATCCTGGGAGAGAAAGGGGTCTTATTCCTACTGAGTATAAATGAGAAAGCTTGTGTCCTTGACTACAGCCAGCATCCAGCTTATG